TGCTGCTCTTGTTAAAGAGATGCTACAAAACTAGTGTTTCTCTGTTTTTCTGTTCTGGGAAAAGGAGAATCTCAGAAGGATTCTAGCTGGCTCTTCCCCTGTGGTATGAAAGCTAAACTTTCTAGCAAAAGGAATGGTTTCTATGTTCAAACTAAGAGATTTTTGGGTTGCTAGAAAAATAAGATGAAGCTATTAAGGAAAAAAGAAGAAAAATCTCCTATTTCAAGAGAAAACTTTTTAAGCATTCTGTAATCACTAGTAACCTATATAGTGTATACAAATAAGTGCATGAGAATTGCAAAGTAAGATCATATTCTTGTGAGGAAGTACAAACGGAACCAAAGAGCATGATCATTCTATGTAAAGCAAAATGCTTTTTAGAGGATAGCAATGAGTACTTGCTGTTATATATATGGTGTCTTTACGACCTCCTAGGTAGAAAAAAGAACAGGTTGCTGAGAGATATTGTGGAGTTTCCATCTCCTCAGCCTGGAAGATCCACCCAGGAGATACTCAAAATCTACTAGGACATTGGCCTGGACAACCTGCTCTAGCTGACCCTGCTTGAGCAGAGGGGTTGGACTAGATGATCTGAAGAGATCCCTTCCAAGCTAAACTATTCTGTGATTCTGTAAAATCTGTGTGGAAATGCAAATTTTGAGTTTCCCTGGTGAAACAACTTAACAGGATCATCCTAAGTAGGATTTGATTCCTGTATCTGCAAAATCTACGAAATAGGAGCCCTTTTGTTCTTTGCTGCTACCAAGCTTCCTCTTTCAACTGTAGTTACATGGATGCGTTGTGTTTCAGGTATGCTGCTTTTTTTTCATCTAGGACTGGAAGTGATAGCAGTTGATAGTGGTTGGCACTGTTATGAACGCTGTTATCTGGCAATATGTTTAAAGCATCATTGAATGCCTTCAAGTCTGCACAGCTTATAATGTCAGGTCTCTAGTTGTTCAATAAAAAGTTCTTTAAAGCTTCACTGATTTCCATGAATTTCCTGTGATGACCTGCATGAAATTTCAGAAAGCTGTGAGCTAATAGCTGGTAGGTTTATATAAGTGATATAAATCCAGCCTCAAAAATGCCCACAAGCCTTTTTCAAAATGTATTTTAATGCAAAGAACTCCTTTTTCTTTCTCATATCATGCTATGCAAATTTTGACTTTATCCATTTTCATGGAAGTCAGTTTTATGAAACCACTGTCTCTCCATTGTTGGTTTCTATCTATCTTCCCACTTCTGTTAAGAATCATGCTGCAGAAAAGCCAAGAAGATCTTTCTTACGTATTTTTTGTGAGGAATGGTGGAAACTGATATCTCCTCAGACAGGCAGATCTCTGATGGATCATCCATTTTTTGTAATGCAGCAAATTTATACGTATCCAGCAATTTACCTGTAAATTGAAGGGTTATAATTTGTCAGGAAAAAGCCCACATGGATTTGTTTAATTGTTGCTGTCATGCAGCAAAACTCAGATCCTTCTCTCTGACTGTGAAAGGTCCCCTAATTAATATTCCTGATGATAACAACTACCTCTTTTGCCCTTTACCTGGAGTTTATTCAGTAAAGCATACTTTTATCACCTTGATCATTTCTCTGAGCTATTTCCTAATCTATCACATCACCTACCTTACATGATACCAGCTGGTGCTGTTTTTCTGCCAGCTGTGTTATCTTTTGCCAGCTGCAAATTCATGCCTGTTCTCCTGATCCCCCATTCTTATACTTTCCCCTACATGTGGAGTTAAACTCATCACAACCCAAAAAATATTGTACACTTCTTGGAATGCTTTTCTGTGATGTGCATAGAAAACTGCATCTGGCTGTGTTGATCTGAGTTCATTGTTGATCTGAGTTTACTGTTGATTAGTTTACTGTGCAATTTAATGTCCACACTAGCACTGTAGTTCAGATTAGCAGTGTGCTTTTAAAGCAAATCTTCAAAAAATCTCCACTCCATACGATTTGATTTCCATTGTGGAATGGTCTTGGCATACAGAGTTCCTTTAAGATGAAACCAAGCTAGAAGATGTGCTGCAAGAGTGTGTGTAATAAGCTCCAACTGCTAATGGGCATTAATTCAACAGACCAGATTAGAGTGACTCTGAAGTGAACCCCACAAACCACATATAGCACAGATGTCAAGTCCTCAGCACCAACTATTTTGTTCTAAAGATCCACCCTTATTGGGACACACTACTTGTTAATGTTCTTGTCCACGATGTTCTTTTTACTATAGCCTCCTTCTTGCTTCTGCCTAATGTAATCATTTCCCTCACTGTGCCTTGCTATGAACCTAGACTGTTCTGAAAGTTAGGTGAGAGAGAGTGATCCTTACCACCTGTTTCTAAAAAGTAAGAGAGTCCTTATGACTTGTCTGAGGAACCCAAAATATTGTCATCATAGCAAATAATACTGTGTAGCATAATCATATGATGGGTATGTTGGTGACTTCTGGGAGTCCTTTACTCAATTCTGAAACTGAGTGAGCAGTCAGAGCAATGTCAGTACAGTATTAAATTTCCACCTTGACTCAGTTTAACCAGTTCTCCTTCCATCTGACCTGTCCTTAGATCTTACCTTCACTCACAAATTCATTCAATTCATAACCATCATAATTTCCACACATTCCACAGGTTTTCCCCATATATTTTTTTTCAGTCAAAACCTAAAATAAAATAAACCAAAACATTTAAAAGGATCACCCTAAGTAAAATTATCTATACAGCATTAACTTTCTCAAACAAATTCAGTTCAAGGATCCAATTGAAGGTAATTCTTCTTATTAATTTCAGTGACTTGATTGGAGAAAAAGTTTTGGAAGCAGTAACATCTTTTCCCAATAAGCAAATAGTGATTGTTGCAATTATTTGATTTAATAAAAGAACAAGATTCTAAGACATTTGCAGAGAATTGAGAGGGGATAATATTCTAAGGAGCCAGAAAAAATAGAAAGGAAATAATGCTGTTTCTATGCTTGTATCTTTGTTGACAGAGAATTCAGCTTTGTTCTCTTAATAAAGTGAAGGTTACAGGAAGAAAATCGGTTTTCAGAAGAAGGTTATTCAATTATGTATTGCTCTGGAGAGTAAAGTGGTAATATTACTACTGGCTACAATCAATGTATTATTATGAAAACCTTAGATCAGAGAAAATAATCTGACTATATGTAGAATATAGCGTGTACCCATCACAGTAGCATTTTCTGTTACATGTGGGATAGTAATGCTGGTAAATCTCCCAGACAATTTATTACATAACAATCTCCCTGTTTTAGCAAACTTACCAATTTAGAATCCAGTGTCTTTTCTGGTATTAATATCACAGGTCACACTGACAAAATGTGCCCTCTTGTCTAAAATATATCAGGGATTTTGGAGGGGAAACGAAAAGATTCAAAAAAAGGAGAGAAACAAAAGAACTGGTAGGAGCACCATATGTTTGAAACCAAAAGATGCCCAGGGGAAGCACAGTAGAAAAGTCAAAACTATGGCATACACTATTAAATTCTACACAACTTTAAACAACTTCAAACAACTTCAACATTCCTTTAGCAAAACACTGTAGCTGCTGGAATAACCTGAGGAAAGTCTAAAATCTGTGAAAGTGTCCACAAATCTCAACACTGGTGGCTTTAGTTAACTACCAATGCTGAAAGTTAAAGGAACATGCAGGTATAAAGAGAAAGTTGTTTGTTTCAAGAGGAATGGGTGAAGCAGGAAAACAATAAATACCCAAATAGTAAAGACATGTAAAAAGCACCCATTAAGTCTAAAGAGATCTTGTCATTCCACTAAGTCAGTGAACATTTTCTCTTCTGCTTTATGAGAACATTTTACTAACCATGAGGTAGTCATCATTGTTCCACATGACAACTAGCTCCATCTCCATGAGCTTGGCCACCAGACGGATGTTGCGTCCATAAGGTGCTATTTGAATTCCATTGCTGGTGTAAGGCAACTTAATGACACTGTAATAAGGTGAGAAGAGAAACTGACCTTCTCATACCAATATTATGCTGGTATTGATTACCTTTTTTAGATATAATACACATACAATCTGAGTACTTGCAGCACCATGAAATAGAATTTTTTTCCTTGGTAACTGTAACATTTCAAGATACATTAAAATTTCTGTTGATTGAAAATCAATGTCAGCAGTTTCATAGAAGAATCACCAGGAGATGGTTGCATATTGATTATACTAGTGAAAATGTTTGCACAGGACTTGGCATCTTCACTTGGTTTGGCTTTATTAAGGTATAGTTATATGTTTCAAGAACTTGTAACAATACAGTTTGTGTGGTAGAACTATTGTTGATTATCCTGAAGAGCTTCTATGGACTACAGCCTGTTAATATAGGAATTATTGCTACAACTGGAAACTGACAAGGTTAGAGAAACCTGTAATGGGAATGATGTAGCAGAATTAGGTTTTCATCCTTGTGGCTGAATTCCAATGCTACAAACTAACAATATTAAAAAACAAATTTGCTAAGTACTCAGTAAATATGTGATACAATCATAGAAAAGTTGGTTGGAAGGGACCTTCTGAAGTTACCCAGGCCAGCCTTCCACCTGAAGTAGGTCTATGTGTACCACTAGACCAGGTCAGTCAAGGCATTTGGTTATTGTGAATGTAGGACAAAAATTTAAAATGCAGATCATTCAGTTAGGTCCACGGATTTATATAGTTTTCCTGGAACATAAACTAATTTATTAGTTTAGGAAGTTTTCCTAAACACAGTTTGCTAAATTAAGGTATAGCTGCAAGTTGTCTTTTTGTTGTGATGGTTATTGTACCCAGGTAAGTATAATAAGATACAGACAATCCACAGTCAATTATTTCCCATATCTGTATTCACAGACAAAAATGCAACACTGCCTATCTGATAAAAATGCTGAAAACTTCCCTGGAGAAACTTCCTTGTATGGGAGCAATTTGTCTAGAAGAATGAATGATGCAGAAATCAAATGTTCCCATCAGTGTAATTCCCCAGTAAAACAGCCATTTTCTGGACATAGTAATCCTTGGAATAATATGAACAATCAGTGGTCTCATACAGTTGTCCCAAAGAAGTGGGACTTCTTTGTAAGCCCCCCCAATATTTCTCTGTTGGTTGTATAGTTCAAAATTTCTCTTGTACCCTATATACATGTTCTCTTTATAAGAGGGTTCAGAGTTATCTAAGTCTTGAATCAAATGAACTCTAAGAAAAACACAGGAATTTCAACTAATGTCTATTAAAGGGTATAATCTGTTTCATCTGTGCTTCTAGTAGAGATAAGCATCAGCAGACTGGTAGTATCTAGGAGGCTGTAGTTTCAGTCTGAGAACTGTTTTGGTCTGAGAAGGTTAGTTTATCTCTTTGCCTATACAAATGTACTCTAAGCTTGATTCAAATAACTGCAAATGAAATACTTATCTAAAGAGTGTGAATGCTTGGTAGGAAGAAATGGGAGTAGAATTCAGTTAGGTGTGCTAACTTCCATAATTTGTTCAATTCATTTTTGATACAAAGCAGTCGTCTTTAGGGGAACTGCTGTATAGCTCCTTGCATTCTTTAAACACCTTTTTCCCATTCATTGCAGAATCTTACCCAACACTCCTGACAGAAATGCTGCCTTTCTCAACAATGACAACAGAAGGTCCCAGCTCAATAATGATCCTTGCAATTTTTTTGTCCAGCCCACGGCGGAACTGAATGTTGAAGTCTGGGCTCGCTTCATCACATACAGTTGCAAAGATATAGTTGCAGGTCCCAATGAAGTCATACTGGTATTTATCAAAGGTTGAAAAATGCCCTCCACCCCAGGTAGAACAGGAATCCTTGCTCAAAACTATAAAAGTAAAAGAGAAAAATGGATTTAGGTCTCCTAACAGTATATTTACTCATTCTGATTGCCATTTCAAATATAAATAGCAGGAAAAGCTAGTAAGTTTCTACTCAGATTAATTATGTAAACATAATTTACATTATTTACTGTAAGCAGAGGAGAGGTCCCTAGCTTCCTTGCTTGGGAAACACCCTTCCATCTCCTTTGTGGGTAATATAAAGGTTTACCTTCTATTTCAGTCTGTTCGATCTGTTTGCAAAGGCAACAGCTTGCTACTGGAGAGACTTTAATATCTCAGGCACAACAATTACGAAGCTGTCTATGGCATTACTGCATCATGATTCATTGCACAGTCAGATCATTAGATATTCAAAGACAGTCTTCAAAGCCCACTTGAAAGTTTGCACTTTTTTGGCTCTGTGTTTGTGTGGCAAAGTTCCAGCCAACTTTGTAAATATATGGAATGTTTTAATCAGTTTTCATTTTTAAAAAGTAATCACTTTTCATCTGAATGGACAGATTTTAGGAGGTTGAAATGGATCATATTAAGAGAGCCACAACTCCAGCACTTGATGTTAGATATTTCTATACCTACTTAAAGCATTTGAACAGTCCCTCTGAAGTTAATAGAACTACTGAAGTAAGTAAAATCATGTCCTTGGTTATGTATTTCCAGACCCAGATCATTACTTTTAATTTTTTAATTATTTTTGCTTATGGAGTTATATGAATCTCAGGTATCTTAGAATATATCTTAGAAGCACAAGGTATCAGGTAAGTTTAGCAAAGTCTACCTGCAATTTATATTCACTGCTTTAAAGCCAAAACATTTTTTTAACCTTAAAGAGTGATCAAATGACTACAGAATGCTACTGTTTTTATTCAGGTCATGTAGAAAATACTGTTTCCCAAAGAGCTGTTACCTATTGGCAAAAAGTACTCCTCTTCCATACTTCTGTGCTGTCTAGAATATCTGAATGGAAAATAGGAATCAGCTAATTGTTGTCATTGATCCTTCATGCCCAATTCAAGCTAGTTTAATATATTGTGCTTAAGTGATACTGACTAGCAAATCCCAGCTTTTCCAGAGTGTGCCGAGGAATGATTACCTGGGGTTGCACAATGGTCAGAGTGCAATAGGTGCCCCTTTGTATAAATATAGGAGTGCCTTCAGTGTATTAATTTTTATTTCAATCTTATCAGAGAAAAATAACAAGTGGGAATGTCAATAACTCAAGAAAGTTTAAAACTACATTATATATTTATCTTTTGAGTTCAGCATTCATTAAGTGATATCTAGGGATTTTCTTTTAATTTGTGTATATCCATGTCCTACTGTTCTTGTTGTAAGAAAAGGCAGAAGACAGAGATGAGTTGCTGAATATTTTTTTTTTGGCTGATCACAAGTACTCAACTACTTTTACCTTTAGGATGAACTTCATGTAGCTTTTCCATACTTATGCTGAATGAGAATTCACCTAATTCAAGCCACTCTCTGCTTTTTCTGCCTAAAGAAATGCTTCTCATTATAATAAATTTGCATTTTACATCATTCTTTTTGTTCTACACCTCTGTGTTTTCCCCAAACTAGATTAAGAATTTCATTGTCAACCACTGAGATACAGCAACTTTTGGAGTACACAGCTGCTTTGTATGTAACAGTATGTAACAGTAAAGCACAGTATTTTAATGTAAAATATTAAGATTATGGATTACTAGGAAGAATGTCTGTAAATACAATATGATAGAAAAATTGTTCAGAATATTAGCAGTGATATCTGTATTTATTTTAGAAAGGATCTAGTGAAGATTTTGTGTTTTCAGAAGGGATGTAGCCTTCTGTATCCTGTCTTAGCAGAGGAACAGCATGTCCTGTAAAATACAGTACACCATGTTAGCATGATGACATTTATTCATTCTTGTCATGGATGTGGAAAACTAAATTTTTAATGAATGAAATTTAAACTGAGAAGTCAGTGCCTCATATTTCTTCAGAAAAGAACATGTGAAAAGTTGTATTGGTTCTGACTCAGTATTTTATTTCCAGCAGTGATCATTAAGAGACTGCCAAAGGGAAGAGTACCATCAGGTCAAGCACATATACTTCCCCAGATACTCTCTCAGTCTCCAATTATTTTCAATTCAGGGATTTTGTGAGGCTCTTAGGATTTGTCTGCTTACCACCCTTGTGCTCTGTCTTCCAAGTACTTGTCCAGCCTCCTTTTGAACTGAAGTGAAATTTCTTTGTAACAGAAAATACCACAATCACTGCTGTCAAAAGTTACCATTTTAATTGAGTTAACATCTTGATGATATCTGCCTTTGTAATAGTACTTCTGATAGCTAATATCTTTTGGCACTTTAAAGCTATAATATGCTAATTATTTTGTGCTTTGGCATGACATACATTTTTACGCAAGTAAGATAGTAGTATCTTACTATCTTTTGTATTTCTTAGAAGGACTAGCACAAATTTGCAGTAAGTAGGTGGCTGGAGTTAATTTTGCTTACAGATTTGGGTGCATGCACATAAACCATTCTTAGGAGTTGAGGGAAAACTTCTGGGAAACTACCAGAACTGTGGCAACAATAGTGTCAGCTATCACAGCTGGATGTTGAAGCAGAGATCTGTCCATACCCTGACTCCCCGCTGGCTGCTGGCTATAAAGGTGAGGAAAAACTATTCCATATTCTGATCTTTCACTCACACATAAATTTGTTTTAACCTGCAATCTTTAAAATAATCTCATAGACCTAGACAAAATGGAGAATCAGCTTTATTTCCTTTCCTGGATTTTGCAGCATCAAAAGAATCCATTTCCTGAATTCTTAGATAATATAAGGCAGTAATCTGCAGGAATGAAAATCAAACAGATCACACAAATGACCTCAACAGCAAATTTCTAAATATGGAAGGCTACTAAACTGCTCACAGTTTCTATCCTTACACATCAAAACCTCAACATGGCACACTAAACCACTTTCCAATTAGTGTAAAACTTACCAGAGGAAGACAACATATTTTACCATCTTTTTATAGGCAAATTCTTCACTCAGAATTCCTAAAACTAATGCTTTAAAATGTATACTCCTTGAGGCAAGGACTTATTTCTATTATGTATTTTGTACAGTGTCTTCTGCAATATGGAATTGATGCTGAATTGTTACTCATAGTTGCAACGTGACCATTAAATGCCAGGTCAAGTACTTACTTCTTTGCAGAGATTCTTTCTGTTTTTGGAGAAAAAAGTGGGGCAAATAATGTCCTTCAAAAGCTGTGAAAGGAAAAAGACAACAGGAAGAAGTTATCCTCTGAGCACAAGGAAGTTGACTATTTGTATATTTATTTGTCTATTTTTAAACACGGTACAAGTCAAAGCAGGGTCAGCATATATGAATTGTGTCCTGCCACACAAAACTGAATGGAAATTATAGTGGAAAACCACACAATTCAGCTTATAAGAAAAAATCCTTCTGCAACTGGTAAAATGTTACTAAAAGCTGCCAGAAATCCTATGCAATATGGGATTTCCTGTACTTCATCCCCAAATCCTATGTTCCTCATTAAAAAAAATGTGGGATAAATCTTTCCTCATGTTTTTGAATACTTATTCCACCATCTGGGTAGAAATAGTGGAGGTAACAGCCAAAACTGGGAAAATATGGGAAAAGTAATGTCCCTTGTGTTCTTCACAAGAATCATGGGATCTGTAGCTGAAGAGTGGGAAATCCCCAGGCCTAGTTGTCGCTTTTGCTGCTCATGTTAAGGTGGAATGATGAAAAATGTTACCTGCTCCCTTCCACATACCTCTTCCCAAAGCCTGTTCTGGTTATGAGAAGCCAAGGAATGTTTAGCAAATGTGGAGTACTGTATAGTCTCGCTTCTGTCACAGACCCAGACCTACTGCATGTGCACAACTGCACCATGTCCTCATACATACCCAAAGGTTCTTTTGCCTAGCAGCTTGCTTCCTTCTCAAAGTGCAAAGAGTAGGATAGATGTTGAAAAGGGCTGCCACAGCCACTCTACAAGCAGTGAGCACTGTGCAGGGATAGAGGTGGTGCATGCATGGAGTGAACTTTCATAGAAACAATAGTTGGATGGTAACAACCAAAGCAAGCTGTAAGAAACAGGACCCAGGGCACTTCAGAAATGTGCTACTCATTCTTAAAGTTTTTCAGGTCCTCTATTTCTTAGACAGCAGGAGAAAATGTCCTGTAGAAACCATATAATTCTCTATTATATGTTTAGGATCTTTTGCAACAGAGAAAACAGGAAGGTATGTTATGGCAGGTTTCTTTAACCACATAAAGCAGGCCAAGTCTACATACATATCTATATATACACTACAGCTCTGCAGGCTTCTGTTGCTTCCTTATATACTGAAGAGAATAAAAGTCCCTAGGAAGCTCACCAGCTGTAATAGAATCTCTAGCAAATTCCACTCTGTGCTGCTGAATGTGAGGTAATATTTATCATGCGGTATCTCAAAGACTGTAGGAAAACAGGTGAGATTCTGCCTTGTATGTGAGGCTAGATTAGGGCACAAGAGGGTAATATGAAGAATAATAGTTTCAGCACATGCCTTTGCTTTGAATCTGAGATCCAGACATCTCCAACTTCCCCATCAGTCTATGCCTCAGTTCTTCTCTGAAATAATACTTATTGGAAAAGATGTTATCTGGATAAACTAATCTAAGCTTTTAAGAGCTAACATACTACACTGGTGGAATTGTGTACAATGAATATCTGGACAGAAGGGAAATAAATCAAGCATTTCATTTCAGTGACAGAAGTGCTCCCACCCCAGATGTTGTTCTAGTAGCTTTAAATGACATTCACCTCAGCCAGTTGTCTAGACTCTTTTCACAGGCTGTGAAAATAAATACAAATTTGCTGAGTACAGTTTGACTTGCAAAATATGTGTCTAACATGGAAAAAATGGATTATACACAAAAATTTTATTTCTCTCTGCTGGTGTAAAGGAAGCCTTAGGTGACTA